ACCATATTATATCTAACTCTTCTGTTTCCAAATCGTATTTTTATATGTTTATATGTTAATAACTGCCAAAGAGACATGGAGATGTACGGGGTTTATACTTTTAGTAGATAATGCAATTGATATCAATTAAAACGAATCTAAAGGGCGAATGAAGAATAAATAAAACATAAACTCGAACAATATAATCGTAATAATGCCCCGTGGTAGTAAATATTGATTCACACGTGACAACACATGATGTGTGAAAAGCGATATTTACAGGAAATATAGCGCATTTCGCGAATGCATAATGCATGTAATCGGGCACAGTGATAGTGCCGAGCGTATTATTGCACAGTCTATTTCAATCTTTTGAGCCATTGAATGGCGGACTTTGACGTTTCTCTCTCCTTCACTTTTAAGTTGATATTTCGTGCGAAGTGACGCATGCGAGATACTGCGTATGTAGCATTTTAATAAGATTGACATTTTTTAATGACATCTCCAAAACAACACCTCGTGTAAAAAAAAGTTTTTCTTTCTTTTCGATTTATTTAGAATGTAATCATCTTCTCTTCATTGTATTATAGCTACGGAACATCCTACATATCCACATGCGATATGTATACGTGGATATACAAAAATATTACTGAATATTAATGCAATATTACTAAATCTGTTACAAATCAATATCTGCAAAAATATGAAAGTTCTGAAAAAAAAGATGTTTTCAATAAATATTGCAAGATTTTGAGATATACAGATATTCGTTTTGAATCATTTTAGATATAATAACTTTACTGTAAATGGTATCATTTTTTAGAATTGGTAATGTGCCAGTTTTTTTTTTTTTTTTTTTTTTTTTTTTTTATAAAAATTGGTTTGTTTTCCTACAATCGATTTTTTTGATATAATGAAAACATAGCCAATATTTCAAAGATATATTGACTTGATAATGATGATAATGATGCAAATATATTGCATAAAATTCATGTTGAGAGAATGTAGCAGCAAATTTACCTTTTGGAATTTCAATATTTGATCAATTGTGTTTTTAACTCGAAGAGCTAACATTATATATTTAGAATCACTTTGAAGCTTCATACGACTCTACTCAACTCAATGCATATTTTTTCATTAGAATTAGATATGCATGATAAAAGTGCAACGGGAAATTTTTATTTATAAGAAATATATAAACAGAATTTTTGACAATATTTTTAATAAAAGATGTTAGAATGCAAACATGTGCGCCCGCTACATATACACGCAGAGGAGAATAATAAATATCCTCGTATCTCCCGTTAATATCTAATATTACCAGCTCGGAAATGCATGGATTATTATGTGACAACAACTCGCGACATAATAACCACCGCGTAATTTGATACAATAATTACATGACGTTCATTAATTAATCATTTGCGCGTTTAACTCTTGTGAAGCGGTCCGCGAAATTCTTTTTGTTCTCAACAGATATAATGCATTTTAGATACAAATGATTGCTTATGATGAGAATGAAATCATAATTGTGATATTAAATTTTCATATCGTGCGATGTTTAATTTTGTATTCAGGTCGAAATTACTGTTTCGTGCGTATTATATCAGCTGTTCAATCTTTTTTACAAAAGTAAAAAAAAAATAAAATAATTTTTCGTCGGTCAATCGTAGTCGTAAATAAAGAAGATATTCATTCAGTGTGTATGTATGTACATATGTTAAAATTTTTCCTGCTTTTATATTATATTTGAATGATGTGCTTCATCTCGAGATCCAACAATTAGTTAGCATGAATATAATAAAGATAGTCTGGCGACACATTTTCAATTATAATTTGTTCGTAGTTTTTCGTCAGCAGATAACATATATGATGTTCCTTAATTGTTAATATAAACGAGAAAATTTAGAATAAAATTTTTTCACACGAAATTTTGTTTCTGTGAAATTTGAAAAGGATTGGAAAAAATCAATTATGTCTTTTCCTTTTATTAAACTTTGATAATTTTCTTGAAATCTTTGCCACTTTTGGGTCATTAAACTAATTTCAGCAGCGTCTGTCAGCGGGTAAATAAAATTGTCGGATATTTCGAAATTGCATAGCAATATATCGTGAAGCTAGAAACGAGATAATTGATCCGCGCAGTAATATCTCGTTTGCTCGCACACGACGATCGAAAGATTGTTGATAAAGCATGGGATCTAAATCGTGGTACAGAAAGTCAAGCGCGTGAAAAGGAAATAACGAGACGGCTGCTCTTAATCAGAAACAAGATTCTTACGGCCAGAAACTGGTCGCGTTCCTATCTCATACATGTTCCACCTTTTAACGGTCCATGCCAACATGGGCATCTTGGTGCATATCGATTTTTGGCATGCTATATACGCACGTGCAATATTCACAGCAATCGCAAAAATGATTTCTCAATTGTTGACTTTAAATAATCGATATTTTTCAAAGAGAAATGTTTGGAATTCTGACAGGAATATATTTATATTTTTTATTCTTGAAATAGTAATTGATTAAAGTAGTCAACTATATTGTAGATATTTTTATGCATTATTTAAAAAAAGTTATGTGTCACGACATATATTATCAACGAATTCTTAAATAAATAAAAATGAACGAGAAAACACAGAATGGAGTAACGAGTTGACCCTATGCCATTGTATACATGGATTGCATGTTTCATATATTTATATTGAATATTGTATATTCTATTTTATATTGCATATTGATTATTCAGAACGATGGCATTCATTCATCCACATTCGGTGTGCCAAAAGCTTTAAATGCAAATATCTCAGAATCATGTTTCTGCAAACGAAGCGTTACTCAGGTCTTCGATCGTCTTTAGTTGTTTGATCAAAAGCAGTATTACCATTTTTGATTGATCTACACATGATTTTAAGTAAAGTTTTTTTTTTAAACAGAAATATTTAAAAGAAATTTTTTCAAGTTTAATAATAACGTTGTTCGACGTATCTTTATAAAAATACGATAATTCTGTAAATATTTTGTATAATATTATTAAATTTTATATACTATTATATATTATTATTCCATAATCGTCCATCATTAAAAAAATTTTTATAAAAATAATAGTATATGCTTAATTATCTATATCCTTTGAAGCTTGAGATTGATAAAAAGCTTGGTGTCAATGATTAATATCTAAAAAAAGATAATCATGTTATAATATTAACATTAAATTATTATAATAACATTAAATATCTATTAATATAAATCAACAATATCTTTTTGTTTAAAAAAGATTTCTAGAACCAGAGATTGTTACTAGAGAACATATTATTTCCAAAGAATCTATTTAAGAGATTTGTTTCTTATAGAATACTCTGTATGTAATCTTTTTTTTTTCTGTGTGTGTGTATTTAACACCTTAATAAAATATTAAAAACATAAAAGAGGGCAGAGGGAAATATGATTGTTACTATGATTTTTTCATTTTGAATCAAGAAATGCGATGATAAATAATTTTTAACCTCAATTAATCAATTAAAAGTTTCCGTCTAGATGTTGTAATGTTGATATCTTTCTGGAGTTCGATGCTATCACCAGTTGTGCTATTTCTCGTATTTTTGTGTCAATGTATGACCGCGCGCGTTATCGATGCCACTCTCGTGTTATCATTATGCACAGTTCGCGTTATGTCGTATGTGCGTTTCAAGAAAACGCTTGATAAGTAACTACTGATACTATATATTATATAAATTCATGCATGCCGATTTTTCGTCTAGATTTCTTTGGTATATTTACATGCAGAATATTCGGATTTTAATTCTTTGATAATGCGTATCAACAAAATGCATATCAAACCTAAAAATAGTAACAGTAGTGAAATGGATGTAATCATGGAAATATCATGGTAGTTTTTACCCAAATACGCAGCCGTATAAATTTACAAGTTTTGCACTCGCAAAATTATTTGAAACAAGATAGTTGTTCCTCAGCTGCTTTTATATGGTTTTCTTGTAACGTATAATATTTCGAGCACTTACGTTAGATTGAATAATGGATGCATATATTACTTGATATATATACGTTTTGCTATTATTTATGTTTAAAATAAAAGTATAATATTACTCTTTTACAAAATAATATTGCAAAATGTAGAAAAATATTATACGAGAAGAAATATTATAATTGATGAAAGCAGAGCGGTAAATTAACATACATATACATATTTAACAGTTTCGGAAAGCTTGTTAAAACAAAGATTGATAAATGAGCACGCTTTTCAAAGTATTATGCGAACAAATTAAAACAGAATTAACGAACAAGCGTAAGACACGTTACAATTTTTTTCCACTTTAAAGAAAATTCAGGTCTTATTCTCTGTAGAATGAGAAACGGCCAGGGTTGTCACGTTTTTGCAACTGTATATACTAAGCCGAAAGTATTAAATTAACTTGAGTGTTGGCGCTGCATATTTCAATTCGTTTCGAACATGTAGGTAATTTAATTCTTTATATTTGCACCACGTACCGTTCCATTTAAAGTACTTCGCTGTATGACCGCTATGTATGTACGTAACAATATTTTATTTTAAAGGGAAATTCTTTTTTACTTACACTCTCTATATATACCATGCTTTATAATTACCAAAATAATCTAACTTGGCATCTGAAATTGGCACATATACAATTGATAACGTTAATAAAATAAGAGCTTCATAAAATAGATCCTCGTGATAGCTAAAATTTTTATTTAATTAATAAATTTTAATTATTTAAAAAAATAGCCTTATTGAAATTTCACGGATTTCTTCTCGAGATAGTCCGGGTCGATGAAAGAGCTCGTACCATTAAGTATATACACGTGTACGTTATTTCCCCACGCAAATCAGGAAAACGTAAGAAACGTGTTACACGCACTATAAGAATCAACAATCACGGCTTTGATTCGTGTTTGTATCTCCTTCTTCTTCTTTTGCTGCCGCCACCACCGCATGTGTGCCAAGCCCCTTATATAGAGGCCCCTTTGCCAAGCTGCGGCCTTACAGAATCCGTGGCTACTATAGCGAGTGTATCGTCGTGCCAGTTGCTGATCCAGGAGCTGTAACCTGTTCGTTCGCGTATACTTGCTGGAGTCTTGAAACTCCGATAAAGTAATAACGCCGATCGGCGAGTTCTTCTTTAAGTGCTCCGATAATTCGATGATTCTAACGTATCAAAAATTTAAATAGCGAACATTTTCTTATATTGAAGTCTATGAGACTTCGCCAACTACAGTGATACTCTTACAGACTCGTGCGGAGATCATCATTGCGAAAGAGTCTCGTTCGAAGATCTCTTTGGCGCATTGAAATGACGTCTGAAGATTAATTTCTGATTGAGACATTGAGATTTTTTCGAGTGCACTATAGCCGCGATTTCACACGGTGCAATCTGCACGTAGCAGACGATAAATAAGACGCGATCTCTCTCGCGATCATGCAAGTCCGCGGCAGAAGTTCAACGCGCCCCTTAGACGCATCCCGGTGCACGTGCATCCTGTTGCAGCTCGCGTGCGCGACTATCATCCCGATCGGCGCCGTCGCTCATTCCCATATGAACATTTCAGACGCCCAGGAATGCAAGGATTCAGACTTCAAGTGCACCAACGGCAGATGCATACCGAATATATGGCATTGCGATGGCGACCGAGATTGCACGGATGGCGACGATGAGGATCCTGCTATTTGCAGTAAGTAGCATTTTTTTTTTTTTAATTGCGCGTTACACCACGTGTAAATATACTTTTACCTAATACCCGGTTCTGCTTAACTTATAATATTTATTGAAAGAGATGCAGGGAGGCGAGAAATATATACATGTAGCTATTTTCTTAAAAGATTTAGTCTTGAAACAAGATATCAGTGATGATTTCCGAATTTGGCATTGTGCATCTTGCTCTATATTTATCTTTTTAAAACTTAACTAGAGTATTCCGGAAAGAGAGAGAGGGGGAGAGAGAGAGAGAGAGAGAGAGTTTTAATTAGTTTTATAAAACATTAAGAGAAATATTCTTAGTAAAAATTCAATTTGATTTTAATTAAGTTACTAGTTTATATTTAAGCTAATATATTCAAGTTGACTCTACGTCGCAGATTAAATATTTATTAAAGTAAGGTAGATACGAAATTAATATTTTTCAACTTCTATGCCAATAAAATATACACGGCACTTACTCCTTTGAGAAACGCTTTGTATGCATCTATTTACAAGAACATAAAACTCGTAATTTACGCATCTCTATGAAAACCTATTAATTACGCTTTATAAATTCTGCTTTATAAAAGCAGGGCGAAAAGACAAAAACATTTTTGAATATTTTATAAGAATAATATTATGTATTTTATTCTCGTGCAACATTGTATCTTTTTTTATTTTGCTAATTGTAAACTATAACTATTTGAAAATACCGAGAGACTTGAAGGTTTACTAGTTTCTTATAAATGATATGACCAATGTACATTGTTATATTATCTGACACACAGAATAAGTATTTAATCGAATATAGTGCATCCCGGCTGTAAAAGGTTTTGGTATGTGAAAGTGCAACTTTGAAGACCGGTTTCACGCAGGTAAAGTGTACTGAGATATACAGTTTATTCTCCAGTAATAAGGGCACCTCCTATTTTTCAGAGAATCGCGATTTTAATATTATTACTCGATTATCTGATGAAATCCTTGTGGATATTGGAACGTGCACTGTTTAATTAGAATTGTAAATCGCTAGCCATTTTAAACGATTATTGTATATATTTGCATATTTCCGTCAGGTATACCATGAGGCATATGAGACTAGTATTGATGATAATCGATTAGTTTAATTGTATCTCATTGATCCTTGAAGGTTGAAGGCGATCATAATTACGTAGTGGAATGTGCGTTTAATATTAATTAGCGCATGTGCTGACGCAAAGCCCTTTTGACCGATATAATTATGCGTGCATTTAATCATTTCAATTATGATGTAAATTACGTTGCAGATCATTAAAAATCCTCTCACATTATAAAATAGAGAGACGCAATCGAGTTTCATCATTGTGACGTTATATATATTATAATTTTAATAGAAAAACTATAGTCTTTCAAGAGAATATATATAGGAGTTGTATATATGTGTTTAATATCTATTGTTTTTCTATTCACTTCTATTTTCTGTTTATTTAGTAAGCGACGATTTAATGAATTATTTTACTTCTAATAGATATTTTTAATAGATTTTTAATAGATTTAATAGATAATAAAATTATATTTTCATTTAATTTTAGATTAAATTTACATCTCAATAACATTTTAATTTGAAGATTAGTTACAAAGATATATGATATGTTGAAAATCAAAATGTTTCCGGGTAACTGACAAATTCTTTCGATATTTTTACAAATAAGAATCGATTTAAAATTATACAAAAATTGTTGTATAAGTGTTTATAGCATTATTTTATGAAATGAGGGATTGCCTCAACGCCAACACTGTTCTGTTACATGTGAAACGTGATCGCAAGTGTGTAATTCTTTTATTCCAATTTGAATCTGAAAACAATAGCACTCTAATGCATCAAGTGTCAAAGAGCGAACTGTTTTGTTGCCAAGCGTCATTGATAGTGTGTAGACATTGATATCAAAACATTGACACTTTATTTCTGATATTCGATATTTCTGATATTAATATTTTATTTGTTACATTAGCAAAATATCAATATTCCAAGACAAACTAAGATATATTTATATATATTGCGATATAATGCAATATTCATTAGCATTCACAAGACGTGAAACTTAAATCTTATAAATTGTACGCTTGTCCTAAAAAATGTTAATCGAAAATATTAAATCAAAAAAAGGAGCGATACCGTGCAGCGAAACGGAGTTCCAGTGCAGCCCGGGCGAGTGCATCCCGAAGACCTGGTTGTGCGATCACCAGACAGATTGCACCAATGGTTTGGACGAGAAGAATTGTCATAGTAAGTCGCGCGGATAAGTATCTTAGCATAGGTATTACCGGAAAGCAGCCAAGGAGGAGATCAGCCGGAAAGCTACAGAACAAACGACAAAGCGCAAATTGCAGTATCGCAAATCGCATCCTTGTATTCGATACGTTCTATCGCTTGTGACATGACAAAACTGTAGAAGGTTTTGGATTCATTAATTGCATGCGTAAATATATTAATCGGTGAAAGGTATTAATAAAGGTTAAAAGGAGATATTAATCAGTGGATTTGGTGATGCGATAAATGTAGAAAAAATTTATATTGTGAAACATAACAATCGCCTTTTAAATCTATCTTGATAACTAATAGGTAGAATTTGTGTTTATAGTATTTTTATACGCTTATACGTTTATAGTATTTGTTTTGCGCACATATCATTTAATTATCGAAATCTTTCGATAATCGAATATTCGAATTATCGAAATTAAAGATATGAATTTTCAAAAAAAGAGGTAAATTTATACGTGCGTGCGTGTGCAGAGAATTATAAATACGCATATGTTATATAACAAAATCAAGAACGTAAATTTTAAACTATGTTAATTCCAAGAAAATGTGAAGTTAAAAATATGATTTACATAAAGATAGTTTTAATATATATACATATACGGAATGTAACTGAAAAAACATATATGGAGCACATTATTAGATATAGGACAACAATCCAAATCGAAAAGTCCCGAACCATTTTTTGATCTGAGCTTTCTTTTCGTTGTTATACGATGTTAAAGTTTGCTAATCAGCGCCTGTCTACAGCAAAAAACAGGGAAGGTACGGCGAAGATCGAAGTAGCGAGACGGCTTTGCGCTGTATAGATAGGCGCTGATTAGCTAACTTTAACAATCGTATAACAACGAAAAGAAAGCTCAGATCAAAAAATAATTTAGGACTTTTCAATTTGAATTGTTGTCCTGTATTTGATGATCGCTGATTAGCTAACTTTAACAATCGTATAACAACGAAAAGAAAGCTCAGATCAAAAAATAATTTAGGACTTTTCGATTTGAATTCTCCATATTAAGTACTCCATATATGTTTTTTTAGTCACATCCTATATATATACACACGCACGCATATATATAAGAATATACATATTTAAGTTCGTGTGTACTTGATGCAAGGATGCAAATTAAGTCTTGGAAATTTATCGCAACTAGTCACATCAATATTCGTCTTTCGCGGGGCTCGTACTCAAACGAGTGCATCGTACATTCGCGTTCAAAAGTAGTCCAACGCAATTGTCATCTTGTCTAGGATCCAAGAGCTGTACGCCGGAACAATTCACATGCCATTCGGGAAATGGCGAGTGCGTGGCATTAACATGGATGTGCGACGACAACCCAGACTGTTCGGACGGTTCAGACGAGGCTGAGTGCAGTAAGCTTCTGCATGTGGGCTATCTTTTCCATACTCTTGCATTTTGTTATCTCTCTTTTCGAGCTCTATATGTTTTATCTTGTATCTTGCACATTACATGAGAGACGAATAGTCAAAATCTTTTGATTTTATGTATGGATATGGATGGTATGGATATTTATATGTATGGATTATTAGTTGTATATTGACGCATGCAATTCTCTGTAAAATATATCGTACATATACATATTTCTGAAACTTTTAGCAATGTACATATGTCGCAACTTTTTTAATAATCAGAAAAAGAATCTCAAGTTATTTTTTGTATGTCAAAAGTTTAATTTAAAGATTCATCTAAATTTAAAAAAAAAGGACAAGTAAATCTAATTATAAAATACTGTGAAAATTATAACAATTATATATTAAAGTTGTGTGAAATCGATAGCAATTATAAGATCTTAAATATCAAGTGGACGAAGGACATTGTCGAGCGTATAAACATTATAAATTTAGCGACAATTTTAATCGAAAATAATTGTGTCAGATAATTAAATTGATGATCGAGTAATATTTCCTCGGAAAAAATAAAATCGCTTTTTATTGGTGAAGGTGCTTAAGTAAAGGGACTTGTAAAATACGAATATAGCGAAAGAATATTTTAATGTTATAATAAAATAGTCGTAGTCGTGCTTTAAGCTGCGTTGCAAATTGCACACTTTCCATAAACGAATTGCACATATTATGTCACATTCCCAAGTCTTATCTTATTTTAAAATGGGTTTATTTTAAAACAAGTTGCGTTACTTATATTTTTATGAAGACAATTATCGCATTCATTCGTCGTTGCTATTTCCGCGTTGATTTTCGCCGATTCTTCTTTCCTTGCTACTTTGCCGGTCAATAATATTAAGATTTACGAAGCACACATGCGGAAATATTAAGCACACATGCGGAAAATTTAAATACAAGTAGTTTTATATATAAAGTCAAGAAATCGTTGATAATGTTCTTAAAATAATTTTAATATTTTTATCCGATATGTCCATTTTTATTCGTTCATAATTATTGAATTGACATAAAAATGAATTTATCTAAAGAAAGATATTGTCGAATCGAAAACAGATATTATCTGCAATCCAATGTTGTACTCTGTAATTCTATTTTTTATTTTCTTCATATACCTTTGATGATAATCGTAAGTATTTTATTGCACTTATTATCTTGTTTCTCTTTTAATTATAAAATTTCCGATTGGAATACTTGAGAGTGCAATTTAATCGGAAAATTTTTTTATTAGATGTTGAGTCGTATCGTACATCGAGGGGGAGATAATTATCTCGCTTGAAATTACGAGTAGCTATCTACTCAAACCACTAATTCCCTACGGAAATCGAAAGTACAAGATTATATAACTCGTAACAGCACAATAAAAAAAAAAGATTTTTGCTCTTACACAAACCCGATTCATTTAATTAATCTACTTGTGCACAAGTTGTTACGTTAAATCTGCACGTCTGTATCGTTTTTATCCTGACGTAGATTCTTTGCATCATTGCTAAATTATATGTTGATATGTGAAAGCTGTGATGTTAACATATAATTTATTTTTCAGTCAATGGTCTATTTTTTTGCATTGAGAAAAAAGTCGTAAACTTGGCTAAATGCGTTTAGTTGGTTATCATATCTTTAGCTAAAAAAAATTAAGTATTTAAGTCAAATACGTCACATATTCAAGAGTCAAATATTTAAATATTTCAACTAAAGAAATAATAACCAATTAAACACATTTAGTTAATGATTTTTTTTCTCAGTGTATATATTAAGATAATTAATAGTAAAATACCTATACCCAATATGACCTGCTTAAAGTTCGGAAAGTTTCATATTGTTTTTAAAATAGTGTTATATATTTCACAACAAATAAAATTGGATCTCTCTGGAGAAAATTTTGTTTTGGAAGAATTATATAGATATTATTAAAATTACTATATATTACATAATATTTAAAAATAGACTAAATATACTGATACATTCAAATTCAAAACTTTTACTAATTATAAGAGAGAATTTTTTTACCGTTAGATGAAGACTTAATCAAAACGATAACATAAACGGTATAATATTTTTTTACAAAAAGTTTAAAGAGCTATTGCGGAATTAAATAAAGATGCACATTATCACGAAAGGTTATCGGATTAACTGATATTATTAAGTTTTGAATTCATAGTGTAAGTATCGGAGAGATAAAGAGAAAAAGCGCTATTAAGACATTATTGAGTTCTAGACTATATATATTGGGTATAGCTACGTTATAATGCAGCTTCGTGTTACTTTATAATTATCGTATAATCTTCCTTTTTTTAATCGTTATGAACGATAATCGTGTATTACATACTTACTATCTTTGAAGAAAAAATTTAATTTTGGCTTTTCATTAATTGTAACGAGTTTTCCGTTTTTAGATACGCTCGTTAAGAAAAGTTAGTGATCATAAATATCCGCAATTGCTATCTCAATCATTTATTTCAATAAGCTTCGTGTTTTTATATTGATCAAATGTCTACTTATGTGTAAATATTAATGTTTCGGTTAAAGAAAGAAAATTTTTGTTGTAAATAAATTGTGTCGTTGCATTTTTTCTCACATAAAAAAAATCTTTTGCTCCCAGACGACACTTGCCGGTCTGACGAGTTTACTTGTGCGAACAAGCACTGTATCCAGCAGCTCTGGGTGTGCGACAACGATAACGATTGTGGGGATAACAGCGACGAGAAAGCTTGTGGGCCGACAACTTGTAATCCTGGCACTGATTTCGCGTGTTCCGAGAATTATTGCATAACTTCGCGATGGAGATGCGACGGCGATTATGATTGTCCCGATCGATCCGATGAAATAGGATGCAAGGTACTTTGTTCTTGTATTAATCTCACCGAAGTATGAAACTTTATAAAGTTGTTTCGACATTGTAAATAAAGAGAGAACGAAAAATATTAGCGATATAGTTTATATGATGCACATATCTTACATTTCTCTTTGAAATTTATTTTTTTAGGAATCTGCGAACAAAGAGAGAACTAGCCATTGCGACAAGGAGTTCGATTGTGACGATGGCGTTACTTGCATCCATCAGACATGGGTATGTGATGGTGAGAAGGATTGTCCGAATGGTGCGGACGAATCTCCACAGAGATGTCACAATGTTACCTGCAGATCTGATCAATTTCAATGCGAAGATCGACGTTCTTGCATCTCGGGTACTTATATAAATTGCTTACGATCGTTATTAAATTAAAATTGCTAACAATAAATCAACGAAATATCAATCCGCATTAATCGATAGCGGCGTGTTCCATATACAAAACAATAGCAAATTGAATTAGATTCAGCCCTGGTATCTATATCTACTAAGACATAGAGTTCTAAAAATTAATAGATTATTATAAAGAATAACTTTTTTTATCGTCTCAGATTTCAATAACCTGTGTGTTTCACACTATATTCACGCGACTTGCCGTATATATCTCGTATTTTCAACGATTCATATATTTCAGGTCACCTATATTGCAACGGTAAAGCGGAATGCGCCGACGAAAGCGACGAGAAGAATTGCACAAGTAAAATCGTAAGCTGCGATCGACGGATTCAATTTGAATGTAGTGAGGGTTCGTGCATTCCTCTGGAGAATGTCTGTAACAAAAATCCAGATTGTATCGGCTGGGAGGACGAGAGCGCTGAACTTTGCGGGGTGAATGAATGTGCGATACACAATGGTGGATGTTCGCAGATTTGTGTCGATCTGCCTATTGGTTATCGATGCGACTGTCACGCGGGTTATAGACTCATCGACAATCGCACATGCGATGGTAAGAAAAAAGTCATTGCATTTTCGAATATTAATATTAAGACTTTCTTAAAACTTCTTTAATCTCTCATTGCAGTCATATGCTCTTATATCGTATAAAGAAATATTATTTTATTCTTCCAGATATTGATGAATGTTTGGAGCCCGGCAGCTGCTCTCAGTTTTGCCAAAATGAAAAGGGCAGCTTCAAGTGTAGTTGTGCCACTGGTTATCTTAAAGATCCGCGGAACTCGACACGTTGTAAAGCTGCAGAAGGTCACGCAAGCCTGTTGTTCGCCCGTCGACATGATATTCGAAAAGTAGCTCTGGACCGCCAAGAAATGACTGCCATCGTTAATAATACAAAAATGGCAACAGCTTTGGACTTCGTCTTCCGCACTGGGATGATCTTCTGGAGCGATATTAGCGAAAAGAAAATTTACAAGTATGTTGTAATTGTGCTTCAGCTAAAAAAAAAGCTTCTATTTTTATTCATATTAAGAAACGGAAGATTGAATGATATTTTTAGAGCTCCAATAGACGAAGGAAATGAGCGCACAGTCGTTATCGAGAATGATCTTACTACATCGGACGGATTGGCAGTTGATTGGATCTACAGTCACATTTATTGGACAGACTCTGGAAAAGATACCATTGAATTGGCCAATTTCGAAGGAAATATGAGAAAGACTCTGATACGAGATCGCATTCAAGAACCTAGAGCGATAGCTCTGAATCCTTTGGAAGGTTGGATGTTTTGGACAGACTGGAGTGACGAAGCTCGCATCGAACGAGCTGGCATGGACGGCACTCATCGATCAGTAAGAGACAAAAATTAATAATGTTGATTAAACATGTAAATGAATAATATTACTGAAGAATGTTGGTATTATAAAACTTATTGAGTAATGTGAGAACATTTTATGCAAATTAATTTATTTAATTTGGAGAGAGAGAGAAAATTAAAGAAATTTATTTTCTATTTAGCATTATTTGAATGTCTGTGTGTATATTCTTTTTTTGCTTTTATTTTGAGAGTTATTTTCTTTTTTGGAATTTTTTTGAGCCGGGGAGTTTTTTTCCGAACGTAATTTACAAAAGGAATAAATCACTAACAAAGTGCATTGAATATGTTTTCCGAACGATTTGTTTCGATTTCTAACAGGCATCTATTACAGGTGATTGTAGGCAATGATGTCAAATGGCCTAATGGCTTAGCTCTAGACTTGATCGGCAAGAGAGTATATTGGGTAGATGCAAAGTTGAATATCATAGGGTCCTGCAATTATGATGGTACTGGTAGACGAACGGTTCTCTATTCTCCGAATAATCTCAGACATCCCTTCAGTATTACAACCTTCGAGGATTATGTATACTGGACTGACTGGGACAAAGAAACGATCTTCAAAGCAAATAAATTTACTGGGAAAGAAGTGGAAGCCGTAACGTCGATTAGAACGCTTCAACATCCGATGGTAGTCCATGTATATCATCCTTATAGACAGCCTGATGGAATGAATCAGTGTCAGGCTGTCAACGGGCATTGCAGCCATTTATGTTTGCCGGCACCTAAAATCAACTCTAGATCGCCACTGTTGTCATGCGCCTGTCCCGATGGTTTACGGCTATTGCCCGATGGATTGATGTGCGTGGAAAATGGTGAGTTAGTACAAGAATATTACGATTGACGAATGTCTTTCCAACACTGAACCATCGCTGTAATTTTCAACCATCTCGTTATAGTGGCCAATACGCGAGGAGCAAATAAATTAATATATTGACAATTGTATAACTAAACCGTGTTTAATATAACGACAAAAAACTAATAGGAGATTTTTAAATAAGATTTTACCAGTATTTGGAATGGTATTGCATATTACGAATTACAAAATCTTTCTCTCTAGATTAGATGAATAGATCAGTTTAATTATTTCATGGAAAGCTATTCGTCATTCTTTTATAGATTTGCTGTGTAACATATAATTGGAATGAAATACATATATTCTCAGAGAGCGTTGCATGTTGTTGTTAGCGCATTTTTACTTCCGCTTATTATGCAAAACGATAAGAAAGATGCACAAAATATCGTTTTTTTATTCGGATATTTCGACTTTTTGCATTCAGGAATCATTACATGCATAACGCGCATATAATCATTAATCTCTCACAAAACCGTTATATAAATCATTTCGCATGTGTGACAATATATACATTTATTAGTGAAATATTGTAAAAATTTATAAATCCTTGGATGCGAAAAAATTATTACAAAGTGTATATATTCGAACTGTTAGAGTACGAAATCAATCGTCCTTTATTAAGGATTTATAAAGATTTAATTTTTATTAATGCTCGATAGTTGTTGAAGATGTTATGAGCTCATTATTTATGTCGTTTCATTTATTTGCATTCGTGTTGCATGAATTTGGGATATTCCAGTTACTACGACCGTTGCACCGTCCACGCAAGCAGCAATGATGCCGTTCCAGAGGCTCAAACCTCTGAATGTTACAACGACTCTCAGTAAGTTTGGTTGAATGATATTTTCTTTAACATATGCGCTGCTTTCTCGGGGGTATGTTAAACATTTATTCAACTTTACTGTGCAGGTTTATAATTAATCATTTTAGGTATATTCATCTATTAAGTCACGATCATTCATGATATCATTTTTGAATTGGATATATTCCAATTTCATGCTGGGTTTCATAAAATCGCTAATTAAGAATGTATTAGCATAATTTTACTATCTAAGAATGAAAAACATTTAACATAGAAATAAAAAAGTTTTCTTTTTAATAAAATAAATTTTGTTCTAATGGAGATCTCTCAAAGTTATCTGGAAGATACATAATTTAGATTTATACCGAGTCAATTTTTGGCTATATATAATTTAGAATCAATTTTTCCCTAACAAAAATATTAAGAAATGGTTATTTTTTTAGCTCGAAAGATAATTTTCTAGGAATTAAAAAATGCAGAGACTAAAATTTTATTTCAATTTTTAATAAGTGATAAATGATTTAAAAATAAGTTACAAAGATATTTAACGTGTAAATAAAAAATTACGAGAAATTTTTATTTATTCTCGCGTTTTTGTAGAAAAATTGTTTTCAAGTTAATCAATGAATCCAAAAGAAAAATAACTCATTATATCTGAAGTTTGTATATCAAATTAATGTTTATCTTTATTTGTTCAAACAGATTTTATCGATTATATATAATCGATAAGCTTGATTATTTATTTTAAATATACAAATATGTACATAAGAAATATACATTTTTAACTGCAATACAAATCGTAGAGGTAGTATTACTAAGCACATTTCTCTTGCATAATATGAATATGTTATACATTGTGCATGTATCTCTTTTCCGTAGCATAAAAATATAATTTAATTGAATGCCCGTAGTCGATATCTTCTGTATTTAGATTCTTATCTCATACTCTTATAATCATGATGATGATAATCGCTACAAAAATGAATTTATGGAGTTTTTGTTAATTGTTTTAATTCTGCTACAATAATGAAGCAGAGAAAAATATTAGAAAATTTTTTTCTCGTTTATCACATCATGACAACATTCTGATTTGTATTAGTCTTATATATGATATTGATAACTCTATTTATAGATCCATTATCCGCAGCAGATGCAAATGGAAAGAAAAATTTAGCAACCGAATCAACAGATCCTGGCTTAGTCGCCGGCATTGTGATAGGCGTAGTATCCTTAGGACTATTATTACTCGCACTTGTGGCGGTACTCTGCTACAGGCATTATCTTCATCGTAATGTCACTAGTATGAACTTCGATAATCCCGTCTATAGAAAGACTACAGAGGATCAGTTTAGTCTTGAAAAAAATAGGTTTCCGCTTCCCGCAGCTACAGTTGGAGAGGAGGTAAAATTAATGCTTTCTCAAACATACTTATTCAAGAATTTGTTTCTATTTGAAAAGTTTTTATAATTTTTATGGAATAAAAGCCATTAAATATTTTTATGGATGAAATTTCGCAGTACTTTTTACATTTAAAAGAATTTACGATATATCTTATTAATTGTTTTTTTTACACAGGCTCAGGAACCATTGACAAGTCCTGGAACAAACGATTATGTTTAAGACTCAATCTGTCTTCACCCAGAGGGCTTAACAGGCTACTGAAATACTATATCGACCAAGTGATAAAACCATGTAAAGAAAACCGAGATATTTGCGTCGAAAGGGTTTGTCCAAATGCATCATGCCTGCGCTCGCTCGCGAACCTGCCAACCAACTGTGATTATGTTTATTTTTTGTATCTATTTCTTTACAAATTTTAGCACTTTGTCACTCAGATATATGTATATTATGCGTTGCGTGTGCAACATATTTAGATTTGTGCTCAGCGGCATAAAGGGAGAAATATCTAAACAAACTGTTGCCAAATATGCGATCTTATCTTCATGTATCCAAGTAGTTCGATAAGAGAGTTTAAGATTCCTATTTAATATTTTTCCCATTGAGTTAAACACACACATACAATATATATAATTTGTAATATAACACTTTTTAGATGAATCTATATAACATCATGGCCTGGCGCACGTAGTGTGTGATTTTACATGCGCTATGTATATGTAAGAAAATATCACAATTTGTTATTGTTTAATTATTTATTTAGGAATATGTAGTGTGAATGTAAACTATTTTTTTGGTAGTCTCTAGGAGCACAAGATATTACTTTTTTTTTTAGTAGTATCTTATAGAAGTAATATGTAAATAACGCGAAATCTTACACATAACTTTCCTCCTTTCTTCCCGTGATGTTTGAACTACTTACAAATTATTAGACGAGCTGTTAAAACATGATATAAAAGTTATAGTGCATACTGTGAAATAAATTATCATCAAAGTAAAGTAAAGAATAAGCGATATATGATTTTTATTATATCTATTATTATATGCATAAAAATTATACATAAGAAAAAAAAATATGCTTTTGATTCACGATTCAAGAACACATTTTTGATAATCAGGATTTTTTATTATATATTATAATCGTTTTGATAATGGTTAGATTTAATATATGTATTTATTCCTTCTGTTAATTATTTAAAAAGAAAATTGAAATCTGCAAGTAGAAAAAAAAGATGCATTGGAAGGAATTTCTCCTTTTATGTCTATAAAATGCATACAATGCCATATAGACATATATGTCATATATGTCTATATTTTTATGGATGGTCAACATTGCAGAGAATGAAAATTGCTCCAGATATTATGTTATTATTTATACGTGCAATGTAATAAAAGGGAAAACGATCATTGTTGTAATGATATGAGCTCAATGACACTAAATGTGACTGTGCGTTCGTTAAAAGGAAAATGTTGTCAGGTACTACAACCTACTAAAGAAATCAGTGTATTTATATAGAATTATTGCGTCGGGCTTAAGAGTTTTATTTACTATATAAATATGAGTATGTATGTGTATATATATGTATATACACATACATATATGTACATATTTAGAGTGTTACAAAAATTGTGTATAAAAACATTGCAGCCAAAGAATTCTCAAAAAATTAGATCACAAAAGTGCATACAATTTCTTTTTTATTTGAAGCAATACTTTTTTAAATATAAATTTAAAATTTGATCAGATGTTAAAGATTATAAATTGTTTGAAAAAACAAAAAAAAACTGTGTGATCATCGTAAAATCATAGTTTACGTGATTTTTATGGACAGATGACTGTTTAATTATAATTTATATAATTTTTAAAAAACTTATATTTAAAAATATTAAGTTTGAAATAAAGATGCAATGTTTTTTGTATTCGACTTTTGTAATAATCTATATATGTATATATAAATTTAAAATTTGATCAGATGTTAAAGATTATAAATTGTTTGAAAAAACAAAAAAAAACTGTGTGATCATCGTAAAATCATAGTTTACGTGATTTTTATGGACAGATGACTGTTTAATTATAATTTATATAATTTTTAAAAAACTTATATTTAAAAATATTAAGTTTGAAATAAATGCAATGTTTTTTGTATTCGACTTTTTTGTAATAATCTATATATGTATATATAAAGGATGTTCTAACAAAGGCATGTATCAGTAACGAAATTATATATATTCTTAACAAAAGTTTGAGTAGACATTTCTTGTTTAATTTAACATCTGTTCCTATTTTTGTTTATTTTCAATTCAATTTTAATTACATCGTTAGTTAAATTTTAATAAAATTTCTGCTAGGAGAAAATTGCATGTATCAAGGCACTGCTGATCCATATCTTTCTTTGGAATATCCTACATATGTATATTTATAATATATTATACTATTACTATATTAAATGTGAGACAAATGCGTTCTATTAGATAAGTTTATTAAGAGATATTGTAATATTAGATTGATAAAAAAACTGTGTATGTTGACAGATAGCAGATCGTTTTCACGTAAATACAAGATTGTATGTAACAACATTTTCATATTTTTGGTGAAGTGTATCTGAGAAAGTTAATTTATGACTCTCAATAATTTATAGGTACTTTATCTGGTCTTATCTCTATGGGACCAAAGAACTTTGTATCCAAAACATGAATAATTTCTGGTTTTTATTTTCCCATAAAGATAAAACAATCATCAGATATAAAAAAAGAGAAAAGATGATGTTGAAAGTTGTGCATAATTTCATATTTTTCTAAAAAAAATTTTTGGCACTTGACTTTTCTACATTGATTAACAGATATCCTCCTATATCATTGCTTTGACTTCTATCTTGATTGATGAATGTCAATCCTACATGATACCGAGCCACTTCTACCAACTTCTCCATCCACAATCGGTTGTCTGTTAACAGGAACATAGTGCAATCGTAAGTGCAAGAAAGCAAAGTCCAAAATTAAGATATAGAGGCTTGGTGGTAATTTTAATAAAAAAAAAATAGGAAGCGTACATGTGATGAGAGAGTTGCAATTAACTTGTGTAAATCGTAAAGATATAACTTGTCCTAGCCAATCTATTTGCCAAAATTGTGTCAAACATTATTTCTATGCAATGTATGTATATGTACATATATGTACAATAGGACTCTAAAATAGATCATCAAACTTTGCAGATGTATTCTTGGACCAATTTAAAATCGATTTTTTTTTTTGACAAACATGTCACTAGTTCTTTATTTATATAAGCGATCTATAATGGAAAGCTTTTTTACAATTAAGAGAAATTAAAAAATTTTTTAATATATAGCAAAACTCTCTCTCTCAATTTAATTAAAATATATAATTTAATTAACAGAAAATTTAAATTTGAATAGTAAAAAGTGAACATAAAAATAAGATATGATATTCAATCAAATTGCTGTTGGAAAAAATCAATTTCAGATTGGTCACAGACTATATCTATAAGATTTGGTAACTTACTTTAGAATCATTCTGTATGTATATACAGGGTGAATCACACACATACACACACACACACATAATGTGTTTATACTGAAATATCTTTGATGCAATGATATCATTCATTCATAATTCACTCTGTATACATATTCGGAGTACACGCGTACATAAATATATATTTAAAAAATATATATAATTTATTATAACGAGATTATTGTATAAATAAATATAAACTAAATTGCAGTAATGCCACGTGTTATTATCACACCTATGGAAGATTGCGAATGTAAAATTTGTATATAAATAAGCCTATTTGAAAATATAAATAGTGAATCATTCTCCGACTTGTGAATCTTCTTTGAGGTTCTTGTATCGGATATAATTAGCAAGCATGATTCTCCTATTATTAGAATTACATAAAGGGATGGAAGGTGTGTGTGTGAAGCCTTTTTATAAAGTTAATAATAGAAGAGTTCCGTGCGCTTTTCTTGCAAACGTATCATATGTGTATAAGAAATATAAATCGTTTTTGTTAAATTAATATTATTTTCTACACAGCGTGGCTTGGTGAATATTTAAAAGAATTATTGAATTTTTACGTTAACTATTTTGTAAAAAAATAAACGCATTAATTGTATTTATGTTGATAATGAAAATTTATATTGATTATATCTTTTTATATACATTTATTTTGAGAACATGATGATTTTCGGTATCGGCAAATGCTCCTTTTTTATGTTTTATTAATAATAAAACTGACGAAAATTTTGAAAGTACTTGTTATACGTCCCGTCTTTACAGAAATAATTGATATATATATATATATAACAATAGTAAGTATGAGGAATATATCTATATGCGTCTCTCGTCAGAGAGAAAATCTTACAAAAATAGTCGAAATCTTTGACTATATAGTCAAAGGTCAAAATTGTCACGAGAATATATTTCTGCAAGAAGTAATTCATACAAATTAAAATCAATTGCGAATTCAAATTCGGCGGCTCATTTCTCGATATTATTCTAGTTTACTTCTTGCTGAAATATATTCTAATGACGCTGATGATTTTTCGAAATTTTCTCGAGAGAAAAATGCATATGTATACATGTTCCGATACTCGTTATTTTTTGTTCATATTACGTAATATGTATATTATATCATCTATATGTTTCTCGAAAATGGAATGTACAATAAATGTTTTTCAGTTTTTCGTTTAATTATTTTATTTATCAATTATTTTATTAAATAATTACTCCCCATTATTATTTTTTATAAAAGTCATAAAAAAGATAAAAATAGTTTTTTGTAAAGTCTATTAAGAGTTATAAATCTGCTTATATAAATCATTTACTATTTCACTTAAAAATGAGATAAGAAATATGTGTACACACATGCATCAAAAAACTACGCAATATAATTTTCGAGTGCACAATCTCCTATCATTTCTTATCTAATCCAGGGTTTACGACAGTCCGAGATATATATAAACCGCATTCTTAGGCATCATTCATAATATGCAACTACGTACGATCTATTATCATATATAGAATACAAGTTTTACTTATAATATAGTTCTATTGCTTTAATATATTTTGTCCTAATTTCGAAATGTTCAAATTTTAAATCTCGTTGCGTTATCAAGCCATGAAAAACATGATCTGTGACATAATATTTCCCTACGTATATGTATGTACATACACACTCCCCTCTACACTCGTTCCAAGTTCCAAGCACCGTTCGTATGTGGCGGAAGGCGGGAGGATAGGTCGCTCTTCGCGCTGTTGCGTAGTAGGTAAAGTCATACGGTAGACAACGTGTGTGTGTTTCGTGAAGCAGCTCGTTTAAGGAAACTACATGATGATCAGCAATACCGGTTCACGTTTCTACGTGTGGTGCATGGCTGCGATTGTAATTTATGATATTAGAACTAAGTGTATCAATAGTGACAATGCGTTGTGATCCTAGTAGTTGTCCTTGTTCGGTAAAGTCGTCGTCGCCGTCGCTTTGACTATATAGTCAAAGGTCAAAATTGTCACGAGAATATATTTCTGCAAGAAGTAATTCATACAAATTAAAATCAATTGCGAATTCAAATTCGGCGGCTCATTTCTCGATATTATTCTAGTTTACTTCTTGCTGAAATATATTCTAATGACGCTGATGATTTTTCGAAATTTTCTCGAGAGAAAAATGCATATGTATACATGTTCCGATACTCGTTATTTTTTGTTCATATTACGTAATATGTATATTATATCATCTATATGTTTCTCGAAAATGGAATGTACAATAAATGTTTTTCAGTTTTTCGTTTAATTATTTTATTTATCAATTATTTTATTAAATAATTACTCCCCATTATTATTTTTTATAAAAGTCATAAAAAAGATAAAAATAGTTTTTTGTAAAGTCTATTAAGAGTTATAAATCTGCTTATATAAATCATTTACTATTTCACTTAAAAATGAGATAAGAAATATGTGTACACACATGCATCAAAAAACTACGCAATATAATTTTCGAGTGCACAATCTCCTATCATTTCTTATCTAATCCAGGGTTTACGACAGTCCGAGATATATATAAACCGCATTCTTAGGCATCATTCATAATATGCAACTACGTACGATCTATTATCATATATAGAATACAAGTTTTACTTATAATATAGTTCTATTGCTTTAATATATTTTGTCCTAATTTCGAAATGTTCAAATTTTAAATCTCGTTGCGTTATCAAGCCATGAAAAACATGATCTGTGACATAATATTTCCCTACGTATATGTATGTACATACACACTCCCCTCTACACTCGTTCCAAGTTCCAAGCACCGTTCGTATGTGGCGGAAGGCGGGAGGATAGGTCGCTCTTCGCGCTGTTGCGTAGTAGGTAAAGTCATACGGTAGACAACGTGTGTGTGTTTCGTGAAGCAGCTCGTTTAAGGAAACTACATGATGATCAGCAATACCGGTTCACGTTTCTACGTGTGGTGCATGGCTGCGATTGTAATTTATGATATTAGAACTAAGTGTATCAATAGTGACAATGCGTTGTGATCCTAGTAGTTGTCCTTGTTCGGTAAAGTCGTCGTCGCCGTCGCCGTCGCCGTCGCCGTCGTCGCCGTCGCCGTCGTCGCCGTTGCCGTCGTCGTCGCCGTCGCCGCCATCGTCGTCGTCGCCGCCGCCGTCGCCTTCGCCGTCGTCGTCGTCGTCGACGTCGCTGTCACCATCGTCGTCGTCGTCGCCGTCGTCGCCGTCGTCATCATCGTCGTCGTCGTCGCCGTCGTCGTCGCCGTTGTCATCGGGCCCACGTTATCACTACTTATCTCGGTATTTGGTACCGGTATCCCGACACGGTTTATCGTGGAATGGCAGCGGCCTTAAAGAAAAATTACTCACGCAGAAGATTGGCCGCCCTCACATTCCTCTCCAACATCTCTCTTGACGGCAGTCACCGGGACACCAAGTTTGCCGTCTTGTCACAAAGTGAACCGACTCACGAGCGTACGTTAAGCGATGGCCAATCAAATCAACAAACGGTGCTCGAAGTGTATCAGAGCGCTGACTTTGAGGTCTCCATGGAAGAAGTTTTAGACGGTTGCACGGAAGAGGAGACGCACGATTTCTCGCAAAATGAAATGATAGAGCAAACCAACTCTCCGCTATTAGTGCACAAAGGCACCGATCATAACTCTTACAGTTCTGATTCGGATGGACTATTCACACCTGCCAAGGCAGCAGTTACCATGTTCTTAGAGCAGGAGAGAAATCATCTGCAATTGTCTTATGGCATGCATTCGTTTAGAGAACGGTAAATGTTTGCTTATCAGCTGTCTACTGCTCTAACAGATGGCCGATATGTGTATTTTCTAGCATTATTTAAATTCGTGGAACACTTTTCTTTCTCTATACTCAAGAGTATATAGGTTACTACTTGTGCAAAGAGAGAAGTCTGTGAGAATAAACAAATTTTATAATATAGTAACAAATGAGACACTTCCAAAATCTTCTCCCTCCATCGTTCCTTTAAATGGTTCAATATTAATTATCTAAAATCAAATGGTTCTTTATGTTACGATTCTTTTAATAATAATAGCTGTCGAAGAAATGTATTGCGGTGTAAAGTTTTGCAGTCATTCTTTATTGTATTTCTATTGTTTGATTAAAGAGAGCAGATGATATAACTGAAACAATACAATCTATCACGATAGCGATATAATATGGAATAAGTTAATGATTTACATCTAAATTCTCTGAGAGACACAATAACATTCAAAAAATATTTATATTGGATACATAAAAACTTTATTTTTCACAAAACGAACTATTTATTGTAAACATCTGATCACAAATAATTATTGTTCTAAATAAGAGATACTGCTTATTAAAAATAAATTAGAGTGATAGACTTTTTATTTTATCTTTTTCATTTATCTGTTTGAAAGCCTATGATAATTTTGAATAAATTATTAAATATTGTAAAATGACTACTATATATGTATATTATTTTGAAAATATTTGTATTAAATTAATTATGTAACTTTTAGCATATAGATGACTTTAACAAATTCAAACTGCATAGTAAATTTTGTATAATAAATTTTGTAAAATAATTGATATAAAAATATTATCAAGCAATAACTATTAAGCTTTATAAATATTACAAATATTTGTAATATAAATTATGCACATTTCAAATATTTTACTAATAATGAAAAGAATGTAGATATTAAAGGTATTTGTAAATCTTTGCGCTATAATGTTTCATCTGTGGAAGACCCTCTTGGTACAGATAGGATTGAATGACACTTATGGATTCAGATAACATTATCAAAAGCGTACAGTATCACAAACGAAAAACATCAAGAAACTTGATTGCATTCCATTCATTGCACGCATATCTAGGATATATTTCATGTTCAGGATGTAAAACTATTATTTCTTCATCCAGAAATTGTTTTAAAAAAATATAGAAGCACAGGCAAATTTTGCACAATAAGAAATAATAATATTTTTATATATATGAAAGAAATTTTAGAGAGAGAGACAAACGCGCGGATGATAAAACTTTATTCTTTATTCCATTTTAAATTAGATCTTAGTTCTCATATCATTTTATGTGAGTTAGTTATAAAAATATTTAAAATAAAAAATTGTAAAAAAGTGATATGTAAGTTTTTGCTAATAGAAGATTCGTTGACTTCAAACTAAATATATAGAGAAAAAAAGAGAAATCATATACAAATTCTGTTTTTAGTATATATATTCTAATACATAAGCATTTTAATATTTTATCTATCTTGGTACAAAATTGTATATTTTCAGAACTGGAACTACTGGAAGCGACTACTCTTTACCAGAAAGACGTGTGGGCTCTTTACAATATAAGAAGCGCATAAGTCATCAAACATCTACGCTTTCGGAAGACATTAAGCATCAATACAATAGTAGCAGTGAGAGCATTGGCTCCATACATTCAAAAGCCCAATTATCAAAACTAAAGACAAAGGCAGTGAACAGTGTGCAACCTATTTCTACAAATAGTAGCATAATACCAGAAGTTGCAAAGGAGTTGCGTTTGTTACAACGGCCTGTGAATGGCTGTAAATTTGGAGATGATAGATTGGTCTTGGTATCAAACCAGCATGTACCATTTGTAGTATTTTCTGCTATTCCATACAACAAAGGACAACGTTCCAGTTGGTAAAGACTTCTTTCAATACACACAAATATATACTTATGTATACAAATTATCCTAGGAATGTTATCTTTTTTATTATAAATTTTTTATTACAAATTAATTTACTTATAACAATAATTTATATATCATAATTACCTAGCACACCTAGCTTTCTATCTGTAACATGATTAAGTACATAAAGTTGACAAGCAATATCAAAATGTCATCAATTTATTCGATGTTATTCTTCTTCTAGTAATTCCCCTCTAATAATTTGCAATTTAATAAAATTCACATGAATATTGCAATAAGATCCTATTTCTCATTATTTACAGGTCAGAATTACGTAAAGACACAACTCGAAGAAAAAATGTTTCATCTCAAAGACCATTATCAGCAATCAATGACAGTATTGATCCATTTGGGTTGTTGGGTATAGAGCATGCTAAAGATGGCCAGGTATATTAGAAATACATTATCTTATCCATCTAATCTAAATGTTTCTGATAGTAATAATGCTCAATTAATAATTAATTTTGTATAGGAAATATCTTATGGGCAATTACTTGTACCATCTAGACAATTCCAAAGGGATAAAAAATTGAATCTTAATGAAAATGAAGCTATGGAATTAACACATTTTATACCTAATAAACATCACGTGGTACAAAGGTATATAACAAGAAATATTTTTACTAGTAATAGTTTTTTTTTTTCTTTATGTTTAATTTTGACACAAATCGTATAACTGAGTTATGTATATACACAAATGATATATCTCCTCTATGTGCTTTTATTTATGTATTCTATCCTTCAAATTCTTAGGTAAGCTTTAGATGAACTGGAGATCCTCAAAAATGTCAAGCTATTGTTTCTAATTTTCTTTATATAACATTTCTAATTATCTTTATATAAGATGTCTATAGCTTTATATATATGTCTTATTGCATATTTGACTAGTATGTCTGTAAATATTTTCTATCAAATTTTCATTGATAGTAAAACTTGATTGCTAGTGATACTCACTATTTATCAAAGAATTTTTTATCTCAACAAATTCATAGCTTGTGCAGTACTATACCTGTAGACGTCTTTTTTTCATCTCTTTCAGTATCATATAATGTGTACATGCATTTCATGTGTCATATATTTGTTTTATAACAAAACATGTCAACCATCTTTTTGCAGGACAAAAACAATTACTTGGAATGTGGATCACAAAAAATGGTAAAAATTATTATACAATATATATGTGTAACGAGATATATAGAAAAGCTTAGATAGATATAAACATACAATAATACAACATATATAACATACAACATATTTAAAAGTCTACAAATCTATTTTTTAAAATCTCGTTATAATTCTGCAAAAGATGTGTTGTAAGGATCAAACATCAAACCATTCACAATCATTTTATAAATAAGAGATAATATGTTCCTCCTTTGCGCAAATGTATGAAAATTTAATGTAGATAATATATAATCTTGTTTATAATGTTTTACATATAATATATGCATATAATATATAAAATATAAACATATAAAATCTTTTTAATATAATTTATTTTTAAATACATTAAAATTATATTATCAAATTACATTATCATTATTATGTGCAATATCTCTATAACAGTAAACAAATTACATTACAAATTTTTATCATTTATACATGTGCATTTCTCAGGTCATCTCTTCAACATATTTGCATATGTCTATCATATAAAAAAACACATACATCTTTTTATTTATTTATAAAGATATCTAATAAATATTCGCACACTATATATAGAATAATTTCTCATTTTTATATGTATGAGAAAATGCTTATTTATTTGTAAGTATTCTAAAAATATAGCATATATATATATATAACACAAATCGTATAACTGAGTTATGTATATACACAAATGATATATCTCCTCTATGTGCTTTTATTTATGTATTCTATCCTTCAAATTCTTAGGTAAGCTTTAGATGAACTGGAGATCCTCAAAAATGTCAAGCTATTGTTTCTAATTTTCTTTATATAACATTTCTAATTATCTTTATATAAGATGTCTATAGCTTTATATATATGTCTTATTGCATATTTGACTAGTATGTCTGTAAATATTTTCTATCAAATTTTCATTGATAGTAAAACTTGATTGCTAGTGATACTCACTATTTATCAAAGAATTTTTTATCTCAACAAATTCATAGCTTGTGCAGTACTATACCTGTAGACGTCTTTTTTTCATCTCTTTCAGTATCATATAATGTGTACATGCATTTCATGTGTCATATATTTGTTTTATAACAAAACATGTCAACCATCTTTTTGCAGGACAAAAACAATTACTTGGAATGTGGATCACAAAAAATGGTAAAAATTATTATACAATATATATGTGTAACGAGATATATAGAAAAGCTTAGATAGATATAAACATACAATAATACAACATATATAACATACAACATATTTAAAAGTCTACAAATCTATTTTTTAAAATCTCGTTATAATTCTGCAAAAGATGTGTTGTAAGGATCAAACATCAAACCATTCACAATCATTTTATAAATAAGAGATAATATGTTCCTCCTTTGCGCAAATGTATGAAAATTTAATGTAGATAATATATAATCTTGTTTATAATGTTTTACATATAATATATGCATATAAATATATATATACTTTATACACTTTAATTAATGATAGTCTGATAAATTTCTTTATTAAGAAAAAATTATGTTTATTAAGAAAACCTATACTTTAAAAAGTGTGTTAGAGATTTCTGGAATATTGTATATATAATGCTAATTTAAACGTATATAAAAAAGTATATATACAGGATGGTGTATTATTATATATAATAATTTTTTCTCTCTTAACAAAGAAATTTATCAGAATATCATTACATTTGTATAATATTTTTGAGTTTTATAATTTAT